AAAAAAAATGAGAAATACAATGCCCATCACCTACTATCATGCCCGCCGTACAACTCCATCACAATCTTACAGATTTTATGGAGTGCAAAAAAAGCATTATGGCAAATCATCAAAATATAAATATTTCAACAAGAAGATAAAAACCAGATTAAGCACATGGAAACTCTCCAGAGATATGCACAATAAGCACAAGGACGCAAACATGTGTCTTAACTGACAGCGAGCACAAAGCCGCGGCTGTTCTTTTCAATATCAGCAGAAAGTGAGAGGGAAAGAAAAAAAACAAACAAAAAAAATTGGGTAATAATCAAAGCTCTCCCATAATCCCCCTCATGTTACGGTGTGCCTCTCAGTTGTCTTTTTGGTGTTGAAAACTGCTGGGGGGCACACGCTTTTCCATGCAAATTGAAAAGGTTGGAAGAAAGCGTTTGCGGGCCCCGTTTGCAGCGGCAGCGACACAGACAGAGAACCGGAGTCCCTCCTGTGGAATTCGCCACAAAGCAGGCTGGGATTAGGAGCACAATGGAAGAGAGAATGTGGGCTGAGGGGAGGGAGGTAAAACCCCACGGCATGGCGAGCGCTCGCTCTCCAGCCCGGCTGCGTTTCAATAGGAGCGCTGCTGCGCTAGAGACGGCTCGCCACACTCTGCAAGATCTCTAGCGAGACCGGCCTCTCGCTGACCACTTGCGAAACGCAACTCACTGCGCACCAGTTACAATAGGGAGTGCATTCAAGACATGCACTGTATCATTCACACCGTTCTTTGGGAGTTGGGAACCCATAACCTTGGCATAACTACGCCATAGCTTTGCATTCCTGCAGTTTAGACAATAAAGCAATGCCAAGGTCATGGGTTCGATTCCCAGGGAATGCATGAACTGATTAAATGTATAACCTGAATGCAATATAAGTCGCTTTGGATAAAAGTCAAGTCAAATTTATCTATGTAGAGCTTCATACAGTACACACTGTTTCAAAACAGCATCACAGCAATAAACAGGAATATAACAGCCTTAAAAAGGGATAGTTCACTCAAAAAAATCATCATTTACTCACCCTCATGTTGTGTTTTTCTGTCGAGCACAAAAGATGATATTTTGAATAATATTAGTAACCAAACAGTTACTAGTAGCCATTGACTTCCATAGTAGGAAAAAAATACTATGGAAGTCAATGGCTACCAGCAACTGTTTGGTTACCAACGTTCTTCAGAATGTTTTCTTTTGTGTTCAACAGAAGGAGGAAACTTGTACAGGTACATCTCGTACATCTGCCAAATCCACACAAGTAGATGCCCCGTAACATCCCAGCTACAAGCCCCGCCCATAATAATCTCAATGACTTAAAATCCTGCTGCGCATAATTTTATATTAAACATCAAACATGTTCTGATTGGCTGTGATTTTTAGAAAAGCTTGTTTTGCAGTCAGTGTGGACAGATATATTTCTTATAGCTAGAAACTTGCTTGATTAGGACAAAATGAAAGAAAAAAAAAAGGAAACCTTTCAAAATAAGGCAATTTGCAATTGCAAAATAAGTGTATATAATACACATATGCAAGTTTATACACCCGGACACATACAGTACAGTCACTTAAAGAGTTATATCACTATATAGCAAATCTCAAAAGCTTGATTGTCTTTATTTATATATTTATAGACACATACATACATATATATCAAAATAGCAGATGTATGTCAAATGTCAAAATAAGTCTCAACTGCTTATATCATTCCAAAATGTAAACTATATTATCGCCCAGTTCTAATCTGCTAAAGCGACTATAAAGCATGAAGCCATTTAAATATTATAAACATTAATATGATTTTCTGTAAAGCTGCTTTGAACAATGTGTATTGTAAAAAGTGCTATACAAACAAATTTGATTTGACTTGGCAGACATTTAGTGTCATAACAAAAGACCAAATAGTTTGTTGGGTTTGTACATTGTGTGTATGTTTTTATCATGGTAGACTGCGTCATCTGACGCTAATCGTCTTGCTCACGCGGCTCTCGGCCTGCCGTGAGTTTTTAAACACAGAGTTACGGTGTCGCCGCCATCAGAATGTGAGCACATTCGCTCGTGAATAATAAGGTGGGGAGGGTTGCGGTGCGTCATGTGACCTACCTAACGTGGTGGCACGTGGACTGTCATGGAGGACACACGTCCCCAGGTAGCCCTCCAGCTGGGAAGGCTGGCGCACGACTGCACAGACGAACACATAATCACGCATTCACAGGTGTGGAGAGAGAAAGAGAGAGTGTTAGTGGGGGTGAACGTGTGAACAGGAAACAAGAGGCAGATGTCAAGAGCTACAGCATAACAACCTCAATCACGCATTCACAGGTGTGGAGAGAGAAAGAGAGAGTGTTAGTGGGGGTAAAAGTGAACGTGTGAACAGGAAACAAGAGGCAGATGTCAAGAGCTACAGCATAACAACCTGACTGACTGACTGACAGGTGCGTGTTTGAACACTTGAAAAGCAAAAAAATCACAGTGCTGTTGATTATTATTTGCATGGCAACGACGGGATTTAAGTCAAAAAGGCTTTTTGTCTTAAACATAGATCTATATTTGACAGGTTTTGTTAGATTTGCATTTTAACTGAATCTAAAGAATAAACAAATGAGGCATATGAAAAATGAGTAGACAAGGAAAAGACTAGATAGACAGTCAGGCAGATATACACAGACATATAAAGAGACAGACAGACAGGCAAACAAATAGTCAATAGATACACAGACATAAAATGCACAGATAGAGACAGACAGATCGATCAACAGAGAGATAAATAGTCAAATGAATAGTCAGTGAAGCAAATATAGGTAGACAAAGACATAGACAGAGAGACAGACAGCGAGACAGATATACATATATAGACAGAGACAGACAGATCGTTCGACAGATAAATAGTCAAATGGATAGTCAGTGAAGCAAATATAGGTAGACAAAGACATAGACAGATAGACATATATAGACAGAGAGATAGATGGATAGACAGACAGACAGACAGACATATCTCTTTCTTTAGATAGATGTGATTATAATTAATTTTCATTTAGCATTCTGCTTACCTATCATGTCTTTTGTCTTCTTGAAATGTTTATACCAGCGTCCGAATTCTTGACACTTCGCCGCAGACACATTTGCATAGTAAGTGCTGTTAACAATTGAAGAAATCATACTCTGCAAGACAAAATTGTATGCGCTTTTAAAAATGTATGTTTACTCACAGTACAATAACAAAGTCTGTCAAGAAATCCTGTACTACGCACAACTCAGCATTATATGCATCACAGTGTCATATCTTGATCCAAAAAAACATATGCAATGCGATTCATGCACAATTTTTTTCTGCAGTAATATAATCTAAAAAAAATACATGTCCCTTTAACAAATGCCACAGAGTATGAAAGCGGAAGCATCCAGGAGGCTCTGTGAGGCAGACAGCAAAGCAGATGATGCTTTGGGGATTTCTGCCCTATATGAATGCAACTCGCAATCTGTTTTCACAGCCGGAGTTGCATGTTGAGACCACACAACGAGTTCACGTCTCCTCGCTGCCCTAACAGCAAGCTTCCTATTCATCTCCTCTGCTTTTTTCTTCTTCTATTTTAATACATTCCACTCCAAAAAAAAAAAAAAAAAGGTGAGATTATTTTTCATTAAACCCAACACTTAACACCTTAATAGCCCTGGGCTACATAGCGCAGAAATTGTTTTGATTGTTATAAATATTCAAAAGATGAAACCATCTGTTTTTAAATTACAGGTAGGGCAGTTTTATCATTTTTATAACATGAGCACTTGGGGACTCGGAGCTGGGGAGGAGGGGGGCTTTGCAGCTTACAATAGAGTTTGAGTTTATGGATAACTTCAGCATTCCTGTTTCCAATTGCTCCGATGCATCTTGAAGACCTAGAGATGCGCTCTCAGCATGAAGGCTCCTCAGCAGCAGTTACGCATCTCTTATCAAGAAACATTTTCCCTCTGAAGGGTTCTTGATGTGACTAAGCTTCTTTGGAGATTTGTTTTTGATGTTGGATTATAGGTTGGTGTATGAACTGTTTTTTCTTCCAAATCATATATGTTCTCTATGACATGGACTTCTATGATATATGGAGTTTAAAACGTTCTCTTATGACATCATATATGGACTTTAAAAAGGCTCTTTTATGACATCATATAGAACATGATTTTAATTGTTCATCAATGATATGAAGTATGGTATTTAAAAAAGAAATCAATACATTTAAAGTAGCTTTTCTATGACATCTAGAACTTAAAAATGGTCTCTATGACATAATATGGACATTTAAACTGTTCTTCCATGATTCTTCTGTTCTCCCATACATACAGAGTTACAAAAAAAAGAGTTATCCTATGACATCAAACTGAATTTTAAAAGGCTCTTCTATGACATCATATGAATCACAAAATTTTTTTATTTTATAGTATTATATGAAATTTTAAATAGTTCAGTTATATCATATGGAGTTTAAAGTTCTCCTGTGAAATCACATGAAATCTACAAAGGCTCTTCTATATCATATGGATCTGAAAATCATTTTCTTATGGAATAATTTGGAGATTGTTCTATGATTTCATATGGAAAAAAGACTCTTCCACGACATCATATGGAACTTATTCTTACCATGTAAATGTCCTTACTGACATGGAAATTTAAATAGTTCTTCTGTGATTTCATATGGAGTTTAAATGTTAAAATGTTCTCCTATGGCATCATATGGAATTGAATTTTAAATTGTTCTTCCATGATATATATTTAAATTGTTCTTCCATGATATGGAACCTAATGTTCTCTGTGGCATCATTCAGAAATACATCTAAAAATGCTCTTCTATGACATCATATGGAACATTTGCTTATTGCATAATGTGGAAATTTAAACTGTTCATATGGAGATTGAAAAAGTTCTCCTATGACATCATAAGGAATTTCAAAATGCTCTTCTATGACATCATATGGAATTCTAAATTGTTCTTAAATGACATGTGGACATTTAAAGGAGTCATATGATGTTGCTAAAAAGAACATTATTTTGTGTATTTGGTGTAATGAAATGTGTTTATGCGGTTTAAGGTTCAAAAAACACATTATTTTCCACATACTGTACATTATTGTTTCTCCTCTATGCCCCGCCTTTCTGAAACGCGTCGATTTTTACAAAGCTCATCGTTCTGAAAAGCGAGGTGTGCTCTGATTGGCCAGCTATCCAGTGCGTTGTGATTGGCCGAATACCTCAAGCGTGTGACGGAAATGTTACGGCCCTTACCATACTGTGATGCCCTGTCCGGCCGAAGCGACGAGACAAAAACATTAAAACCCATTATAAACGAGGCATTTGTTGCATCCAGTGGGGACATAATTACGGATTATAATGACTTATACTGTCTTTTTACGTGTTGAGTTTTGTGATCTGAGAAATGACTAACAACAAGCCCTACTCTACACTGCCCAAAAAAACTTGCATTTGAATCATCAGTGGCAAATTCTTTGAATATAAAAAACGTACTTATGATTTCTAGTCGTGTCCTCTTTTGGCAGGCCAAACAAAGTAGTTTCACTTTCACAACGAAACAGCATCACACACCATGGCCTTGAGTGAGCGGAGGCCGGAGGCCTAGAGTATGCGGGCGGGCTTGAGAACGGCACGGCCGGCGGAATTGACGAAGGAGTGTCCGGCTGGCTTGCGGCAACCACATGTGACGACCCCGGGCTGGACTCCGCTTCGTCCACGGTGAAAGCCGATCCGGCGATCGACAGCGCGAAGTTGATGTATTCCCTCAGCAACCAGCACGGATCAGCTCCAGGCATGAGGAAGCAGATATCGTCCTCTTTTGGAAGGCCAAACAAAGTAGTTTCGCTTTCACAACGAAACACACTGCGTCTTCACAGCATGGCGGCGGCAACAACAATACTACAGCGAGAATAAAAGTTACGTCTTCTTTCTTTGCGTGAACATTTGGGCGGCGTTATGCAAATCTTCCCACATCGTGACGTAGATATGTGGGGGCGTGTTAGAACGAGCCATTTTAGGTAGGCGTGGTTGACTCTTAACTTTTATAAAGAATATCTCTTTGGATTTGAGACTTTAGTCTTTGCAACTGTACAGATCTTCTTTATGCACCAAGAGCTTGCAACACTCCAAAGAGAAAGGAAAAATTGAAATCGCATCAAATGACCCCTTTAAATTGTTCACCTTTGACATCACTAAATCTTCTATGGTAAACAACTTGATGAAAACTGAGCCTTTTTAAGTTCCATATAATACTTTAGGAGAACTAGGGCACTACATGGATTTTTTAAAAGGTCCTCCAACAGCATCAGGCACAACAATTCTTTTGCAACCTTTTTCCACGACGAACAGGTGCACAGTTCAGCAGGACCAGCCAGACGAGGGTTAACCACTCACCAAAGTACACATCTCTGTATACGCTTGAGAAGGACTATTAACCTTTACTGCCAAAGCTTGTGCTGCCGTAGAAATGAAAAGTGTATAACGGCATCCAAGACGAGCAGAAGACCCTCTCCAAAAGCAAGGGCGGAATATGAAACCACAGTGCCATGCTGATAGGAGGCCAGGTTCAAACCGCACATCTGAAGGCCAACTGGCGTTTTAAAATGTCACGGCTTCTTTTATCGCTGATCTCAAACAACAGCCAGGATGGAAGGGAGCTTACAAACAAAACCATCAACTAACAACAGAAGAGAAATGAAATTACCGAGATTTCATGAGTCATCAAAGATCTGTTTGAGATCTGATGCAAGTCAGACGCTCATAGTGGGTACAGTTGACACAGATGTTGAGAAAAGCTCCGTTCATTAATCACTCGTCTCAAACTCCCGAGACCCATCCACCGCGTGGATAAACACCTCAGCGTACCGAACGCCAGGAGCCATCAACAGGTAATGGGACAAGCCTCTTTAAAAGATAACCATTGTGAGGCTTATCGGTGCGCCCAGGAAGTCTGTCATGCCATTATCGACCTGAACCATCTATTTGGCTTTCCGTCACGGGAGAGTCTCATGAAAACGCTCCGTATCTAGCCAGGCGCTCACTGTTTGTACTTCCTTCTTACGTGCCATCTTTTAGTCTCCCTGCGGAGGGACTGTTCGCACTATGCTGGAGAGGTGGGTTAATTCCCCCTCCTTTTTATTTTTTTCTTTAAAAACGTCTTAATTACAGCTTCTTTTTCATCCATTGCATGAGAAAGGGGGAAAAGCCCATGTCAAAACCCGAGCAAAGATGGCATTTGACGGCTATTTGCAGCTATGCAACTACACAGCTGCTCTTTCAGGGCCACGGGGTGAGTGGGGAGCTCTATTGTTGCGGTCGTCTGAGGGGACACAGGGGTTAAGATTGATCATAGGGAAACATACATGTGCTGAAAGATGGCTGATAAGCGGGAGGGGCCCCGCACAAACCTGGACAAGCAATTTACTTTTCTCCTTTCTCTAGAATTGCACAAAAAAATGGTCTGACGGCAGGCGAATTATATTCTGCTAAAAACAATATCCAAGAACTAGGAATGGGTCAGCTGGTCAATTATTGAGGTCAACTGGTGGGTTTGCTAAAATTTTTATCATTTCATTATTTCATATATATATATATATGTTTAATTTGTATAGCACAGCACTTAATAAGGGCACTTTCTAGGTTGCTCAATTTAACCATGCTGTCACTAATATACATTAATAATATATTATAATATTAAAATGTTTCGTTTTTATAAAACTGGCTAAGAATGTAGTGGGTACACATTCTAGTATTTATCCATGATGCTGCTAAAAAACTTTTTTTGTATAAAATTAAAATAGATATTTAATTTGTATAGCATGGCACTTAAGAGGGGATGGATTAAATTTTTTAAAAAAGGTAAATAAATAAATAATTAAAAGCATTTGGCATGTTAACTTCCTGAGAAAGTTTTAGTGTGTTTAATTTGCTAAATAAAATAAAACTATTATATATATAAAAAAGTGAGCTCTGGAAAGGCACTATTCAAGTTAAACATTTTAATTTAAATTTTGTTATGATATTTAGCAGTACTCATAATATTTATGATAATATTACATAACATGCTTAATTTTATTATATTATAATATAATAATATTATGCATGTTATGTAATATTATCATAAATATTATGAGTACTGCTAAATATCATAACAAAATTTAAATTAAAATGTTTAACTTGAATAGTGCCTTTCCAGAGCTCACTTTTTTTTTTCTCCCAGTAATAACACAATAATAACTAGAAAAACTATAGTCATGGGAAAGCACATGCATGCATAACATCAGTGCATTTGGTTGTTGTTTTTTTTCCTTTGGCCATTTGGCCGTTTTCTCAGCTTCTCGCACAATGAGTGTTGCGTTAAAGTCAAATGAAAACTACTTCAACTTTGAAAAACATATCAAGACGCCTGATTCAGTTGAAGTCTGTCCGACTTGCTAGTTTTACTAAGAAAAATGTCTGGTAGCTGGTTGGTGAATGACAGTCCATCTAATCAACATAATTACATAAGGCTTCCTTTAAGAATGACTAGCCAACTACTCATACACAAAGTTCACCAACTACACTAGAATGAACAGCTCCTGTTAGCATATAAACTTAAACATGCAACGTAGCTTTGGAAAAAAGCACTACATTCACAATCCCCATCCATTCTGGCCTAATTCTCCATTCATTAACCTTTTCAAGAGCAGGGATTACCGTTCGGAGTATCAAGACGTCGCTAATCCTATCAAAGTTGGCATTTGTTCTTAAATCGGACTGATCTCTCCAACTCTTCATATTATGCATGTTATGTAATATTATCATAAATATTATGAGTACTGCTAAATATCATAACAAAATTTACATTAAAATGTTTAACTTGAATAGTGCCTTTCCAGAGCTCACTTTTTTTTTTTTCCCCAGTAATAACACAATAATAACTAGAAAAACTATAGTCATGGGAAAGCACATGCATGCATAACATCAGTGCATTTGGTTGTTGTTTTTTTTCCTTTGGCCATTTGGACGTTTTCTCAGCTTCTCGCACAATGAGTGTTGCGTTAAAGTCAAATGAAAACTACTTCAACTTTGAAAAACATATCAAGACGCCTGATTCAGTTGAAGTCTGTCCGACTTGCTAGTTTTACTAAGAAAAATGTCTGGTAACTGGTTGGTGAATGACAGTCCATCTAATCAACATAATTACATAAGGCTTCCTTTAAGAATGACTAGCCAACTACTCATACACAAAGTTCACCAACTACACTAGAATGAACGGCTCCTGTTAGCATATAAACTTAAACATGCAACGTAGCTTTGGAAAAAAGCACTACATTCACAATCCCCATCCATTCTGGCCTAATTCTCCATTCATTAACCTTTTCAAGAGCAGGGATTACCGTTCGGAGTATCAAGACGTCGCTAATCCTATCAAAGTTGGCATTTGTTCTTAAATCGGCCTGATCTCTCCAACTCTTCCTGTTCAACAGCAAGACTGTTCACCTAAAAAAAAAGGTCACCTCTACTAGGTTACCCATCAAAGACGACCCTAACACAGACGAGGCAGCCTGTTCTAACTGGAGAAGTAACGACTAAAATTAGTGAAAGACACTCCTCATTCACGCCAGCAAGAGAAATCAGAAACAACAAAAGCAGAAAACTCTCCCCTCCCCCGAAAATTGCAGCACACGCGTGCGGGCCGCCCAGCCTACAGCAAGCGAGCTGTGAGCGGACTCTAATTCAGTGTAAGTACCGGGCCGCTGCTCAGTGGGAATAGCTCACATATGGACTGTAAACAGAGTGATTAGAGAGATGTGGAGCGGCCCAGCCCCTGCGCTGCCTGAACAGCACCCTGGGACTCTTTACATCACCACACACGCACACACCTGCAGGAAAAGAACGGGCTTCCCTGAGACGAAGTAGACTGCGATCGCACCAGCCTTTCCTTGAAATACATTGTGGTTTTAAGGGTGAATCTCATGGAAACATGCCCAGGTCACATTTCACAGCAAAATCGAGAGGGATAAATCGTAGAGAGAAATTATATTAAATAAAAAAATTATAATTAAGCCCATTTTTAGGACAATTCCATTTTTATGCATTTTTTTCAATACTATTAAGCAGATTTCCTCCATCAAATTTTCATTGATGTAATAGTCTGGATGTTTCATGCTTCACTTTCTTCCTGATTATTCTCAAAGGTAATTCTGGTGAGATTTTTATTACAGTAATACAGTATTTTATTATTTTTTTATATATATATAACGCTTTTTAAATCGGCATAAATTAAAAAATACGGCATGAAGTCTCAAAACTAGTACTATCATGCTGTATAAATACTTTATTTAAAAATAATCTTTTAGTTTTAAAATAAATAGTTAATTTACATAAAAATTAAGCCTATTTTTAGGACCAATCATTTTTTTAAGCAGATTTCCCCCCTCTAATTCTCATTACGCTAATATTCTGGATGTTTTACATCTCACTTTTATTGCACTTTTTAAAATCAGCATAATTAAATTAAAAAAATCAGTATAAAGACTCCAAAACAACACTATCATGCTGTATGAATACTTTATTTATTTGAATACTAAAATGTATTACTTTAATATTAAATGTTATAAAAAAATGTTTGCATTATTTTCACCACAATAAAGCTGTTTTCCCCCTCAAATTCTCATTACAGTAACAGTCTGGATGTTATATGTTTATTTTTAATTTTTTAAATCAAAAGTGTTAAAGACTACCATGATGTATAAATACATTTTAAATATTTGATTTAAAAACTTAATTTTTATTTTTAAATAAATATTTCAAATAAATAATTTTAGTTTTTTTGCATTATGGTAATAAGAACATGAGCTGCAACTGACATAAATATACAGTAAAAATAATTTTTGCATAAGCAACCATAATTCTTTCCACAGATTCTAAGGTTAAAACACGACATGTTGACAGGTTTCGTGAGATTCACCCATAACAGTTCACAGCTTGTAATGCATTATCAAGATCATTGTGGTTGGCCCATTGTTTACCCAACAATACTCGCATTCACAATGGGTAGCACTGCTGCAACAGCATCAAAATAAAGTGCATTAATCTACGGGGATGACAATGGCTATTGATTTGGATTTCTATGGCAATTCTGTCCATTTCCACTTTATCAAACTCTGGGCATTTGAAAAGGGACACTTGCAATCTTGGCAACTAGACGTGGAAGGCTCCAGCACCTGTGATAAGGGACATTCTTTTGCCAGAGAGCTCTGGTTCATGTCTTTGAGTAACTCCTTGAGCGCATTTCTTACTGTAGAGTGGGTCCACTGCTCTGGAGGAAGGTCTTCCAGTTTAGGACAACTGCAGGAAGGGATAGAACAAGTGAGAGATGGAAAAGGGAAACAAAAGAGAGAGAGAGAGAGATGATGGTGAGCACTGGGCTTTGCTTTCCTGCTGCAAGCGTCCCTCTAAGACAGACAGATTTCATTTGGCGCATGAAGCAGATGCATCTGGAGTCTCTCTCTCTCTCTCTCTCCTGATTGTTCTGATTAGTTAATTACTTTATACAACACATCTGCTGTATTGATGCATGAATTATACATCAGCTGCATGTGGCGACTATTATTTCACGTTACTTCTACCTTCCTGCCTTGATGTGCTTGCTAAAACAATTTAAGGTGTTTCCATCTAGATTTCGATGCTAGATGCATTCAAAAGGACCAGCATCCACTATCATCTAAATACTTTATTTAAAAGAAAAAAAAATCCAGTATTTAGAACATTTATGCATGTGTTGGGGGAAAAAAATCCACCATCAAATCAACGGAGAAAACACAGCTGCATTCAGGGTGTCATTAATGAACGCTTGTTCAATAGGACGCAATAAACGGCAAGCTGCCAAGAAAATAGCGCAACACTCCATGCAAAAAAAAAAAAACAACATTCAGAGATGTTCAACGCCAGCATGCTATGAAAATTAAAGCTAAGGGCGTCATTTCTGTGCCACTAGTGTGACAAAACAGAACTGCAAAATCAATCAGACAAACAGATTTGACTAACTAGATGAATGAGCGAATATCTGTTTGACTGACCAATGGCAGACAGGGAAACCTGTTTGGTAACACTGACTAAAAATATGAATATAAATATAAAAATATGCAAAACAAAAATAGGAAATATTGAAATCACATTTTTTATTGTATGATTCATACTTCAATGTAAATAAATGGCTTTTTATGGTAAAAGAAGCTGATGCTGGAAGTAAAAATGACATTCTTAGTCTTGAATTTATGTTATAAAAAAGGCTTCCCGGATTAATAATTAAATATTGATGGTTTCGTAGTTCTTTAAAACACTGGAGTAATTGGATGAGCGGTAGTACTGCTGTAATGTGCAATTAACACGTCCATGTTTGCACATAGACACACACACACACACACACACAAAGAAAAGGAGAGACTGGATCCGTGTGAGACAACCACACAGCCACACAGCCTCTGGAGACAACACAGAGACAGACAGATGTACATGGATGTCTACAGAAAAAGGAAGAGGTGTGTCTGTGTGTGCCCACAGCAGTGGCTTGTGGGAAAAACAGCACTGTATGTGGCGGCAGTGTGGCTACAGTACATGGGAAACACTGACCTGTGTAGCTGGATTTTCAGCGTGACCACATGGTACACATCCTGTAACATGTCCGCCACTGTGGCGTCGGGTGCATCCGTCACGTAGGAAAGAGGCACGGGGTTCCACTTGCCCACCTGAATCAGACCTGTGGTGAGGCGACACCATTTACCACAGTCAGACACTCACACGACAGCACACGCTAATGAAGGACTGCACATTTCTATTAGCTCTTCACAAAAAAATACTTTTATAAGCACTATTTGATAACCATATTCTTGCACCATGCTTCTAAATAGTAATTTGTATAGTAGCATACTTCAAAGAATACCATGGAATTACCATCACAGTGCTGTTCGTTTTGAGTTTTCGCTCAAAATCTAGTGAACTGCCTACATTTATAGCAATCTCCTTTTGCAGGCAGCAACACATGAATCTCATAATGCATTGCGACAGGGTTAATTAAAAAAAGAGTATCCAAGATGGCAAGTGAAATGAGAGAAATGTTGGTTATAAATACAGTTAAGGCCAAAATATAATTAAGATTGACAATTTTAACTAATATTTGTGCATACTTTTTTAATATAAAATACTGTCGTTTTTTAATGTGTTTGAAATAAGTTTCTTAAGCTCACCAAGACTGCATTTATTTGATCAAAATTACAGTAAAATCAGTAATATTGTGAAATATTATTATGATTTAAAATAACCGTTTTCTGTGTGAATATGTTTTCAAATGTAATTTATTCCTGTGACACAATACTGAATTTTCAGCATCATTTCTCCAGTCTTTAGAGTCACATGATCTTTCAGAAATCATTATAATATGCTAATTTGCAGCTCGAGAAATATTTCATATTATATTCAGTGTTGAATACAGTTGTCCTGCTTCATATTCTTGTTGAAACTGATACTTTTTGTCAGGAGTGATGACTAGGAATTTTAAAAGAACAGCATTTATTTGAACTAGTAATCTTTTGTAACATTGATTATACATGTCTTTACTGTCGCTTTTCATCAGCTTAATGCATCCTTGCTAAATAACGGTATTCATTTCTCAACATTTCAGCAGTACTGATTTATGAATATCACACGAACTTAATCACACATTATAATGACAAACTCTACTGAAATCAATTTGTTGAGTCTTTTGAGAATAGCTCTATTTGTATGAAACTTGTATGTTGACTTGTTGGTTTCAAAACACAGTCATGGTCCTTCTAAAGTTTATTTTTATGCTAACACCATGGTATTTTTTATACAAGGTTGCAAAACAGCATTCTTTAAAAAAGATATATATTGCTCGACCATATGATGTTGTCTGTCGACTGGCACTAAATGGGTAACGGAAAAAATAAGATCCAGAAGATCCAAAGAAAAAAAGAAATGATGATGGACAGCAGGCAATAAATTACAGGCTGAAGGCTACGGCTCTTAAAATAGCCCCCAACTCCATAAAGCGAGCAATTAGAAACCGCAGGCCCACCTCCACACTCGTTCCCATTGAGAAAAGTGTGATTACAGAGAGCAGGAAGTGCACCTGTGTGTTCCTGCCTCTACCCACAACCCCCCTGACCTCAGCATCAGGTCAGCCCGAGCAGAAGCATGCATGCACCAGAACACAGCCAACAAATCACTCCAAAAATATCTCTGTTTAGCCTCCAAAAATATCCGAGCATCTGCCCGGCATTTTATGACTCATGATTCTGATCTAACGGCAAAAAAAACAAAACAACACACATTCTGGATGAACAGGTATCGCCGTGCACCATGTGTCTGTATGCCATGTTTAGGATGATAAAAACACGCCGTACCTTTAGCCTGTGCAGCCGAACTGTGCGAGTAGCCCAGGGAGAGCAAGGCCATCTCGATTAGCTGGTTGAAGAGCATGTCCTTCCTGACCAGAACGAACTCAGCATGTTCCTCTTTGCTGTCAAACTCGATGGGGCTCTCGTAGTGCTCCACCACACAAAACACTGGCAGCATGTTACCTAGCAGAAACAAGAGAGCAAGCTTTACACCGCTGCATAGAGAGCATGCAACACAACAGGGAGATGCTAAAATGCCACAGACTTTGAACAAGTGTTATTTTTGTTGCATATTCATACAAATGCAAAGAATACTTGAGCGAAAAATAAAGTTGTTTTTAATGATAGCACGTTGCTATGTGGTTGCTAGGGTGACAATTTAAAAAAACCTTGAATCCTAAGCATAGGCAATAGGAATAATAATGACATTTGCCTTTGCATGCAACCTCCAATAACACCACGCTGGTTCCAAAAATAGGAATCACATCATATTTTTTTTACAGAATTATAGGATTTTTGCTTTTGACAAGCATTTGTAGGGTGAAGAAGTCTTGTTTTGTCCCTTAATCAGCAGAAAAGTCACTACAAAAACATGATTCCTGTTTTCCTCTGAGATAATTTACAACTATTTGTTCCATTATCAGCCATTTTTAAACATATTACATTGTTTTATGCCTAATCCTGTTTTCAAGGTTAGAATTATGACCAGGGACAGATGAAAATGCAAACATGAGACAGTTCTACTGCATCTATGGGTGTTTTACTACATCCAAACAGCAACAGAAGATGACAGATTTTGTGAAAAGCTTGTTTATTCATAAACGTATTGATGTTCTCTGAGTATTTGAAAATATTTTTCACTCATTTGCAGATTTGAAGTTGAATGATACTTTTCGAAGCTTCTGTCAGTAGAACTGAAACTCTAAATTTTACTATTTCTAAATGGAATTTATTTGAAATAGAATCCTTTGTAACATTATACATTTATTTACTGTCACTTTTAATCAATTTAAGGCATCCTTGATACCCTGAATAAAGGTAAAATATAAAATAAAAAATTTACAGTAACAAAGTAATGTACTAATAAGTGCTTTATAAGTGCAATAAGTGCTTTGACATTAAATTGAGTATTTGAGCATATTTTTAACTCGCTTGCTAATTGTAAGCTAAATTATAAATTTTAAATGCTACATTTTGTCATTAAAACAAAACTTGGCATTTGACTTATTTTGTGAAAAAAAAAATCTTTAAAAAAAGTTTTTATTAATCAAATTAGGTATTTTTTCAGCAAATCATTTTTTTATGCAAGGCTGTGTTATCAATTGTCTATCATCCACTGTAACGTGTTACAATAAAGCAGCATTGTAACATACATAATTAGATCAGAACACAGAACAAGCGGAGACGACGTCAACGAAACAGCTCTGCTATTTAAACGTGTTAGCACACTAAAAGGTTAGAGCTCATCGCGGCTTTAGCGCTTTATTTATTGTTAAGGTGCTCAAATCACATTAGAATACTTCTTCAGGCAGATCCCAGTACCCTTCCCATGATGCTGTGCAGTGGCTCCCAATGCACTGTATAGCCTTGAGGTTTACGAGTCTGTGTAAACAGCGTGCCGCTATCAGGGAAAGAAAAAAGAAAAAAAACGAAGAATCTCCATCCAAAGCTGTCATGTGTTCGGGTTTACTGTGCAAATATCACATAATACCAGCCAGCTGCAACACTGCGGTGATGAAATTTCAGGAACTTCATGATCTCTTGGACCCAGGATCTTTATTTTTACAGGGTTTAATACAGGCTGGGGGAAATATCAACGCCGTCTATCCGGGGCAATCGTAACAAATCATATTTCTGCTCCTCACGGTCGCAGTTTCCTAAGAATGCGACCGTTTTCTGGAAAACAATCAATAAATACGGTAATCATAAGCAGATGCCAGGGAATGTGCTGAATCGAAGCTTTTCCATTTTTAATAGATAAAGATCTAACAATAAAGACTGCTGTGTCGGTTCATTTCGGGATCAATACACGCTTTGTTCCCAGAGAGCTGAGAAAAGCCCATGGTAAATATTATTCAGCTGAAACAATGAATACAGTAGCTTCCAAAGTTCAGCAAGCACTCGGCAAAAGTTCACTTTTTCCCATAAATAATAATAATAACGGTTACCCAGAGAGCTATAGAATGCGGTAGGTGAACATGAACAACTGACGCTAGTTGTTGTAGCTAAAGCTTTTTCCCTTTAATTGTACACTGCGGATATATATCTTATATCAGATATACAGTATATATATATATATACA